AAAAAATCTGATTATTTCAATTAGAATTTTAATAGATTTAATTAATTGAATAAGAAGCATGTAAACCAACGCTGGTTATTATTTGCGAGTAATGTCTTCATAAATTTATTTGTTATATGACTATGTATAAATAAATATATAAATGAACGTTTCGACCTTTATTGTTTCGACTTAAATAAATTTATGAAGACATTACTCGCAAATAATAATCTGCATTGGCTTATATGCTCCTTAATTAATTTGGATTTAATTTCAAAACCATTTCATATCATTATTTTTAATAGGTTTAATAGGTTTATCAAAAAATTTTGATTTGTTCATTTTCAACTAAAGTTGCAATTAACCATGAAATTAATGCAAATTTTTTTCAATGCAAATAAGATAAATTTACAATTATCAGTGATTATCGTATCTTTTTGTTAGGATTATAGCTAGGATATAGAATTGGGTGAGCAATAAAAAAAGTGAGATAATGTCCGAATTTATTTTATTACGTTTATCACACGTTAAATTTTTATGGAAATGAATTAAATTTTTATTTCTTGTTTATTTCAAATAAAGATTAACGCGTGATACGTTTCGCAATAATTATAAAAGATAATTATAAAAGTGGGAGTAGCCCATGGTTTTCAAGCGAGATGTTTTATCTTTGATATTGCATGTTGTGCACCTATACATTACAGCAATACGAGCCGTATGAAATGGATTATCTCGATTAAACACGAGGCTTCTTGCTCATAGCTTATGCAGATTGCCGTACATCTGGTTAGGAAACGTAACAACGCAACAAACATATCGATATTGATCGATATTTATTGATTGATATTATACAGTCGACATCTCTCCTAGGCATTAGCATCCTAGTGCACGTTCTTAATATTCGATTTCGCATACGTGAGAAGACGGAGGAAGTTAGAAATAGATACTTTAAAGTGTTTTCAGTCTATTGGTTGGGGCTTAATTCTCTTTCAATATAGAAGATCTACGTATCTACGTATCTACGTAATAAGATGATGGAACATGCAGCACATATATCAACACATATATACAAAAGCACGTATTAAAGCCTTGTTTCATCGTTGAAATTGAAAAATTCATCTACAAATGATGTTTATCGGTCTTGAATTGACATACCAAGTTCATATCGGCCTTGACTACAGTCAAACAACAAATCGATCTAACCATTTTTTAGTCTTAATGACATGCCGACGTTCTAATAGACACTGTACGCTACTTACAACGATGTGAAATAATGAATTCATTACGTGTTAATCGACCGTCGCTATTCGTTCATGAACTTTTTGTGTCCTTGACGTACAGTTGAAAAATATATAGTATAAGTTGCTTCGAAATTATAGTTGTGCAGTACGAAGTCACATCACATCTCGTCACAACTCGTGCTGTATGTTTATCATCAAACATTACAAAAAACTTAAAACTCCATATGTACTCATTTAAATATAATTTTTATTAATTTTTGATAAGAATAAAAGATAATCTACATAGCTAGACTGTAGAATAATGTATAATGTCTAATCAAAGATATTTTTTTATAATAATAAGAAAATGGAGAAATGATAAATGAGATATAAAAATAACTTTGCATAATAATCGACTGATAATTTTCGAACGTGATCGAAAGTTATTGCAACGTAAATTTTTAAGGCTTAGTGTCATGAAGATTGGATAAATGATAAATTCAATACATTAGTACAAAGTTCATTGTTACATCTATAAAAAAGATTTCCTGATCCAGTGCTACTATATATATTCTTTATCTATCATAAAATAAGATTCATATTTATTGTTAACAGAGGAATATTTTAAATGGAAAATTCTCAAATCTAGAATAAAATGATCTTGGTTTCATGCTAAATGTTGTGATAACATCGTGCGTTATAACATCAGATAAAGATTTGTTCTAAGAATATATAGACTTAAATTTGTATACGTTACTTTTGTCTCAAGTTTTTCTTATTTGAAGTTCTGGTTTGAAGAAGAAAAATGAATTGAAATTATTAATCTAGTTTTAATATTGTTTTTTATTGTGTAAAATTGTGGTAAGATTACGTACACTAAGAATATTTTTTATCTCATTATCAGAAGTCCTTTTTGAAAAGGTATTTTTAATTTTTAAATAAAAAAAAAATACATAAGTTATGATTAATTCGTCATTGTCAAATATCATATTCTATGTTTAAATTGAGTGGGATAAGATTGCCATCCATATCTATACTGGTAGATTGCAGGAGCTAACAGAAAAGCTGAGTAATAGTTGTCGCGTGTTTGCACTCGGAATTAGTTTTCTCATAAGTCAACGAATATACTATTGTTATGTTGTACTGGCTTGTTAAAAGGAAACTTTTATCGATTTTCCTACAGAATCACTTTTGTAATTTATACGAATATTATTGTGAGAGTTCATCCGCGATTTTCGAGGAAAATTTAGTTTTACAATTTAATTCGATTTTATAATTTAACTTAAGCAAACTCCCTATGCATATAATTTAAAGGGCATACCAAAGGGTGTGCGTAATTTTATTATATTAATTTTATGGAGCATATTGAGATTTTTTTCAAATTATTCTATAACTTAAGTAATAAACAGCATCTTTATACATTTCTGATTTTATTATTGTAAATGCAAATATTTTAATCGTTTACTGCGTACTTGACAAAAATGTATTTTATATAACGTAATTTCAATCTTAAGCTTACACAGACATTATCAAGTAACATTAAAGCATTTCTATGCATAGACGTTATGTGCAGACGCTATAGCTTTCGTAAATATTTAAGTTTTCCGATTCGTAATAATTTAACAAAATGTTTTAATACTTTTTCTTCCAAGTGAATTTTTTTTTAAATTCTTGTATTTCATTGCTTATTTTATTATCATCTTATCCAAATATTTATAAAATTATTATTTTGAAGAACGAAGTATATATCGTTATTTATTATGAATACTCTAAAGTGTGTAAAGGGATACTGTCAGAATTAATATGTTGTAATTTCGCACGTATATATTTGCTTTTAATCTGTGTACTAAATTTGCTTATCGATAAAATGATACTTATCAGATAATAAAAATCTAAATGATCTCGAGATAAATCATCGAATCAGACTCTTAAAATCGTCTTCTCTGAAAGATTTATCGGTGTCAATAGCTAGTTATACGTTATGTCTCGTATGCGATTCTTCATAGTTTAGCCATTGATTCGTGTGGGAAATTTCTTGCAACAGCATTACTTAATACTTTTTAACTTTGCGATTTCATATACAACACACATACACACACACAAAACTTCGAACAAGTGGAATTATTATTTTTTATAAAATTTTTAAAACTCGTTCTCTTCTTGGATGTGCGTGTATGAAATTGATATAAAGTAAGACTTTATATGGTCTAAATATTGTGATATTTTTCTAATTTTTTGCTGATAATATAAGACTAAAATTGAAACTTGATAGTTAGTTTTAAAAGAAAAAAACTTTATAAACTTAAAAAAAAATTATGAGACATTTACAAGTATTTACATGAGTGCAGTGAAAATTTCAGAAAAAGTAATATTTAGATCATATTGAATATGCGTGTAATATGAATGTACCTAATATGTCGGAAAATTATAATTTGCGATTTATAAATATTATTTATAAATATTATTTAATACGCCTAACTATAGCTCGTTTAATGTATTGACCTGGGTTTTACTTTTTATTAATTTGTTGTAAATTATACGAACGAAAAGAATTGATATTATGTATATTTTGTGTGTGTATGTGTGTGTGTATGTGTGTGTGTGTGTGTGTGTGTGTGTGTGTGTGCGCGCGCGCGCGCGTGCGTGCGTGCGTGCGTGCGTGCGTGTGTGTATGTGTGTGTATAAATGTTTCGACTTATGAGTCTAGTCATCCTAAGTGCAACTGAACTGCCACGAGAAGATTCTGATCAGAAAAATGAACTGATAACATTTGATAAAACGTAATATATGCGTTTATAAAAAAAAGATGTAAACTAAAAATATCTAGTCACTAAAGTAAAGTAATACACACGAGTTATGATGACTGAGAAAACGCACAGTCATATAAAATTCTATGAAGCCGGATAGTAACAAAAAAATGGTTCAGAA